TGTATCTATTTAGATTTCTTTGGTCAGCTTAGAAGCATTTGACCTGAAAGGCTGTTCTATTAATTGATATGGATAGATGCAAGAAAATGCCTTAAATGTTTGATTTCTTGGAGGGATGCAACCCTCCAATTGGCAGTGATAAAACACTCAACTGAGCACCTCTGCTTCTAATTTTCTGATTAGTCATTCTCAAGAGGTACAGCCTTCTCTGAGAAAGTCAATGAGACAGCCTAGGTTCAAGTTCCATTGATGCTTTGCCATGTATGTCAACATTTTTACAGTTTTGATTCAAAGAGCTGCAGTGCAGAATGAGTTTATTGAGGTAACTGTATTCACATATGATAATTAGAACGTCTGGTGCATGAAAAGGTGCCAGAAGCCCCAGTGCCATCTCTTCACTTCAGCTTGTGTAATTGGAACTGGTTGATTTTCCTCACAGTTTGGGGTCACTTGTTCTGCGGTACAATCTACAGCCTCTGGCTAATTGACTACACCTCATTTTGACAGAACCTGACTTGCACTTAACCTTACTTAACTTAGTTATGTATCAAGCTGCATAGACCATGTTTGGTTTGGAGGACACCTAATCCAGTTCTTGATCTAAGCATGACAATTTACTCATCAAGTTTTGAGGGAGAAGAGGAAAGGGGAAAGAACTTAAATAAAAATGTCTTCATTTTGTGCCATCACCATGAGATCACAAAATTAAAGATGTGTGCATTGCAGTTTCCTGCCTGAAACTCCTGGGGTTTCTATGATCTGTGCTGAGTCATATGTATGAAAGGTATACCTGCAACACAGCCACGAAAAACAGTATTTCAGGTAACAGGGGTACCAAGATTGTCAGTATAAAGTTGGGTAAAGTCTCAGGGAGTTATTGAAACATTTGAGTGGCCAGGAAGAAGCAATTTTGGCTCTTCACTGAAGCAGCACTTTAGAAGCCAGTAGAACCTCACCAATGGAAAGACAAGCATGGTGGCCTAAGTGCAATTAATTATGTAGCTGTGAGCCTGGGTCTTAGTGATTTGCAGATGTCTGTGTAACCAGAATCAGCCCAGCAACCTCTGCTGCTGTCCTGCTCTGTGACTGCAATGCCTCTTACGAGCCAGGGCTTCAGTTTGTGTGTCACACCTCAGGCCCTCATGCTTTTGTGAAATGAGAATGACAGCGCACTCTGTCAGAGCAGGTGAGAGTGAAACGGCTGCTGTGCTTGCCTACAATGATAAGGCATGCTGCAATTATGTAAGGGTATCTACACACACCTACGCTGTGGCAGGTGCCAGGGTACTCCCAGATGATTGTTAATCTTGTGTTTTTCAGACAGGTTACTGTTCTGAAGTCTCTGTCTAGTAAACAGCAGCTGACGGTGACTAAATGCCAGCAGACACATACAGGAAAGCAGGTAGGTATTTCTTTCTTTTTAAGAAGTGTGTTGTTCAAGATCACACATTCTGAAGGGGAAGAAACTGAAACACAGTTGGGCTTACAAAGTACAAACCTCACGGAGTGTACAAGATAGTGCACATAATTTCTGATTAACATGGAAGAATTATGTGACAGAGAATGATCAGAAGAGTAATTTTAATCCCAAAGGGACTAGGTTGGACAGAGGAAAAAAAAGAATGAAAACATATTCAAAATATTTCAAAGCATCAAAATGCAGGAGAATGCATTCAGAATTTTCCTTTGGGGAAGAAAAGCTGTCTTGTGGAAAGGAAACCATGTTTGCTACATGATGGGTGTTGTCCATGTCACTTAGTGCACTGCTTAAACCACAAAGACTCCAAAATTAGCTGAAAAATGAACATGAACATTCCACATTTCTATTAGGTTAAGACTCCCAGTTATTTTATTACAGCCTGTAACTTAATGTCCCAGCAGAAGGAGAAAACCTTTGATCATTAATATTGACCATCTTGTCCATGGGTGTTTTCTGAGAAAAATTTCACATATTTTGCTATTCATTCACATGCAGTTCACCAATCCCTATGGCACAAGTGTGACTATTCCTGGAATTAATCTTTAGGATTCAGTGACAATGGCCTAGTATTTATATTGCAGTTTAGCTTTTAGCCAGAAAACAGAAAAGATCAAATCCCATATATAGTGCAGTGTTAAATTTGTTTGAGAAAGGAGAGAATAAAGGAAAAGTCTTACTTTTCATAAGTTTATAAGCCCATCCAGGAAAGCCAGCTTTAACATGATAATTCTTATTTTATGGATGAGAGTAGAAGATAATCCTAGTGCAAAAAGCAGATACATCTTGCTTTCTTTCTTTGTTTGAAGTTTTATATTCCTTGATTTTCCTTTTCCTTCAGCACAAATTTGCTTAAACCTTTTTTTTTTTTGATGGCAATTACAGTAATGAAGATCTGAAACATTTATTGTGGAATTAGAACAGCCTAGCGGGAAGGGCTGAGTCAGAATAAATTAAAATGATTTCATAGAGCACACACAAAGCCTTTGTGTCCTAAGGAATGGCTGAGTAAATAGCAGATATTTGCTTGCTGAATAAAAAATGTCACAAAACAGCCCAGAACACGCTCTAGCCCTGTACTTTCTTAGCATCAGTGCAAGGATGTACCCAGCATCAGGGCATAGTTCTGAGACTTCAGAGCTCCTCTGCATTTTGGAATTTAGTCTGGCTGTTCAGGAGTTTACTATTCAGATTGTGTGCACAGACTTTTCGCTGTCAAAAAGTTTTAATCCCTCTGACTTTCCCTTTTCATTGCTAGAGACAATTTTTGTCAGGACAGTGGTACTGTAACTCTTATTTAGCTCTCTACAGTTTCCTGTTTGTTTACTGTGGAATTGGAGGTGCTCCTGGAGAGCCTCCAAATGGATGGGGGAAGGACTCTATGGGTCCTTAAATAGGGACAGGGAGGAAGGACCAAAAAACATTACTAAGCAAGTTCCATATTTGTTAACCCACCTTTTGTTAAATATAAATATGAGTAAACAATTTGAATTTTAGTTTTTAATGAGGAAAAAACCAACTGACTAACCCTTTAAATATTTAGAAATTATCTCTATTTTTTTAAGATGGGGCTGTTTTATATCTTAGTCTTTTATTTCCTAGTCTGTCACAGTTTACATGTACTTCAAATCTGAGCAACTGTAAAGGTCTCAAAATTCCCATGTTAGGAGCCCTAATGAGCAATTAATGCAAATATTCAGACTACTGGGAGAGCCTATACACTTGAAAAAAATATTTTCTGTAAGTATCTGACCCTAATGCTAAGTCATAAAATAACAGCTCTGGAAGTATCTTTGCTCTGAAAAAGAAGTTTCTTAACACAAGCATTAAGTGTTTTGAGATCTGTGCGTATATTTGAAATCAAATAGTTTAAAAATATTATGTATGGCATGACTAAATGTCAAAACCAAGTTGTTATTATTATGCATTTATGCATACCACCTGCACTTTATAGAACTGGTGGCAAGGAATATTTCTAGCTATTTCTAGTATTCCTCTCTGTCAAGATAGTCCCCCATTGTTTTGCTGATCTTTTATGGAAAGTGTATTGTAGTATACAATGACAATTTGCAATAGATGAAACTATGAGATGCCACTTTTACCACTATTGCTTTCTAAGCTGTAATTATTAATAGGGACTGCAATGATGCCATCAAGCATGCATGAATTGCCTGGAATTCATTCTGTCTCTTTCCATCACAGAATATTCAACTTAAATGAAAAAACATTGCATCTTGATAAAACTTGTTTTCTTGTCAGACATGAAATATCATCATTCTCTCATTTTTTGCCACATTTCCAAAATATCATTAGTGATTAAATGAAACCATTTGCATAGAATCTAAAAGTAAAATTAAAGAGCCACAAAACATAATTCTAGTGCTAACTATATATTTCCCAAGGATTTTTCAGTTCTTTATTTGTCCACTAGAGAAGATTTACATAATTTAACTGAGATACAAGAACTGTGGTCTGTATTTCTCTTTTTCTTTAAGAAAAGCAGGAGTTTTTTTAAAAAACCCAAATGTGTAAATAAAATTTTCCAATTAGTATTGGCAGCAGGCTATATTTCATATTGTCTCCCTAACAAATATTTAGATAACGTTGAGGAGACTTATCTTTTATAATTTTACATTCTTTGCATTTAATTAATAGGCCTGACATAAAAATAGAAGGTCATTGACTTGAGCACACATAGCAGTTGTAATGTTAGCTTTTAATTCAATTATGCAAATATCAAAGCATAGATGGAAAATTTAATGAGAAATCTTCTCTAAAATTAAATGCATTCCCCAAAGCTCTAAATCTTTTGAATATGGGACTAACCAGGAAAAATCACATCACTGTCTTTTCTTTTTTGTTGTTGAAGTAGCTTTATAAATGTTGTGGACTTTTAAATGTTTTTAAATAGAGCAAGAGTTAGCTGATGTATTAAGTACAGATTAGTTCCCTGTATTTCTGTTTTCTTGAAAATAATTTTATAGTTATTTTTATTACATTAATCTATACTGGTACTGCCATTTTTGTATATTTGACAGTGTGGTGTATTCTTCCAGAATATGTCCATCTAGAAGTTTTTGAAGTTGTTTTTAATAATCAAAATAAATGTCTTTACTAGTAAATGCAGATATATTTTGCTACTTTCTTTTCATATCAGTGATGAAAGACCATCTTCAACCACGTCAACACTGAGATGATATTTCAGCCTTTTTAAAATTTCCATATATTTTTCTCACAGATAATATTTATTTTTCATAACAGAACCTAAATGAAGCTAAATTGCATCTCTTATACATATTGTAAAACCTGCAAACACACATAAGAAATAACGCCAATATTTCCTTTTCCAGCTCTACTGATAGCAGTATCAGTAACCGTAGTGTCTCTAGGAGTATTGTCAAAACACCACATTCTACACTAAAAATTCTGTAATAGGAAAGCCTTTGATATTGCAATTATTTTGTTTCTCAACATATGCAATGCAAAATTCATCTAAACCTTATATATTAATATATGAACTTACCTCTGCTTCCCTGAACTTGGAGAGCAAGGCAAATGATCAAAAATATTAATCCAGTTTTCAAATGCATGCTGTCTATTGATCATTCACAGTTTTCAAGACCAGTCATGCAGGAAACAAGAAAATTTTTTTCAAGTAGAAGAATTCTGTTTTCTTAGAGAACTAAAATCCCCAAATGTCTTTATTTTTCAGGTGTCTCCAGCCTTGGACTGCATGGAATTGCAGCTGGGCAGAGTGCAACAGGTGCCAGAGTGCAAGAGCTGGGCGAACCCTCCGACGCCCACACTTCTAGCCCGGGGAACTGGAGTGGTAAGACAAGAGTGACGAAGTTTTAAAAAAAAGCAGTGTCTGTTTCTGGAATAATCTGTTTATCTGCTGCTCAGACATAATCCCTCTTACGGTCCAGCTGGAAGAGCTTTCTTCATCTTATTAACCTTCTGGAGCGGCATCTGTCAACCCCAGGAGACTTCAACAGCACCATGATAAACAACGGAAGCCTCTTCTAGTTCCCATTGCCTTGGATTGTTGATCCTTTGGGCATTCTGGAGGTATGGCATGTGAGCACAGGGAGAGATAATGGTGCTGTTTCCAAACCAGTGACCACAAACCCCAGGGAGCTCCCCTAGGATAGCTTTTTCCTGAAAGAACACTCAATGCTTAGCTCTTCCACCGCCCATGTCTTGCAATCCTCTCTCTCTTGTACCACAGGGGTGCTGTTGCAATATTCCTGTTGGAGCAGTGATGATGATGATGTGTGACAGGGGTGAAGTGATGACTCAGCAGTGAATTGCAGCAGTGTTCAGGGCTGGCACAATCTGATGCCAAACTGTGACTGGGGCAGGGAAAGTGCTGCATGGTGGGAGGAAAAGAGAAAGTGGTGGGAAATGCTGTTCCAAGCACACAGCTCTAACTGGGCCAAGAATTGGCAGCAGCTGAATACACTGTTCAAACAGCTCTGCTCCAGTTTCACAGATAACTATTTCAGTTACATATTGGCAAGTGTAGGTGTTTCATACTTACGCTTTGATTTTCCAATACCCTTTTTACTGTTGCATTACACCTGAAAATGCTACCAGGTAGGCATTTCTAGTGGTCTTTCCCCCTTAAAATTTTTTGTCCAAGTGCTTTAACATAAGAAGTATCTCAACTGCCAGCAAGAATCTGTAAGCACAAGTTACTTTAAGAACAACCTTCATTTGAACCCAATCAGTATTCTATTTTTACTTAGGATTTAAACAATGGTAACCTCCCTCCCTTTCCAAGATTGCCCGATTTCAACTACTCAGACCAGCTATGGTGCAGACTGAGCTGGGTTCACACAAGATTTGCTTTTTTTTTTAGTGTATAAACTTTCATGCACATTGTTTTTTATTGGTCCAACAAAACAAATTAGAATACCTTGTATAACACCAAAACAAAATTTAGAATACCTTGCCAGCAGCACAATGCAAAGCAACAGTGGAGATGATTAGGATTTCTACTGAAGACAGATGTATTATTATATAAGGATCATTCTTTAGCGGTACCAATATTTGTCTTTGCATGCTTTACCTATAATAATCATATTGTATATAGTGACATCATAGAAATACTACCTGTGTGAACCAGGTAATTTTTAGTAAACATTTCTATTGGTGTTATATTTGGAAGATGAAGCTCCCCCCATATGTTACCTTATTTTTAGTTACTTCAGCTTTCAGTCTGCAACAATTGGAAGCAAAGAGAATTTTTCTCAGGGTGGTGGAATGTGCCATTTCTGGTGTCATCTGAGAGTGTGGAATTGGTGAAAGGAAGATTATTTCTTCAGAGCACTCTGGGTACCAAACTCCATATGGAATTTGTTAGGAATGTGATCCTTTAATTCCATTAGGAATCTAATTTGTCAGACTACATTTTGAAAATGTGCAATAAAGAGATTTACTTAATTACTCTAGAAACTGGTTAGTGAAGCCTGAGCCAGGAATCAGAAATCCTATACCACAGATTTCGCATAAAAGGGTATTTTTGAGCCATTCACATGTTGGAGAAGGCAGACATTTAATAATACATTCTTATCTTTCAGAGATAAAGGAACAAGAAAAATCCTAAAATATGGCATGCTTTTCGTGTAAAGATATGACTTAAGAAAAGATTGAGCTCTATAGGCAAACTATGATTAAAAATTTGTAGGGCAGGAGTTTGCAGACTTTGAGATTATGCTTAAATCGTGAATATTTCAAGCTGTTTTCTGCTAAGACAGTACCTTCCATGTAGTTCCATTTAATTAAGAAATTTTGTAACTAACCTTGATAACTGCCTCAGGGGGAGCAAACAAGAATGATAAACACTCATTAAAACTAAAGCAATATTATCTAGGGACCACTCCATCTCTAAGTACTGCAGGGTTTAATTATAGGTGACTGTTAATTAATCTAGAAGTGTTTCTTCTAGTTGGTTTGCTGTCAACAATAATTATATATTGTTTAAAAGGTGATTTAAAAAAATTCTACTGAAACTCAATAGTACATTACAAATATACTACCAAGACATGGGAAGGGCAAAACTGGAAGCCAAAATATTCATTCACCCAGAACAAGTGCTTACAAATGGGTTAAATTCAATTTGTTACTGGTCATCTGAGTGCACTGCTGCACATACCTAGAATAATCACTGATATGCTGTTAAAATCCAACTAAAGCTGTTTCCTTTGGTTGAAAAAATGAGGAAACCTGGATTCTTCTGGTCCCTTCTCTGCCGTTGAATTTGGTCAAACCAAGCCTTGTCTCTCAGCCTTCTGATCTGCAGGGATAAAATGGAAAGAAAAACTTTTAAAAAAATGAAATTGTGTGTCATACTCTTGTCCTGCAACAGCAATATTGCCTAGTAAGACTAGAAATTTGAATGAGATGGTGGTGAAAGTTATCAGAAGAATGGAAGGGTTTCCCTATAAGGAAATATTACTAAACCTTGAAATCTTTGGCCTGAAAGACAAATGACATAAAGGGTATGAGAATGTCTTAAAATGTAAGAATGTCTGTAAAATGGAAGAAAAAAGAGAAATATACCAAATTTCATTTTCAGGTATCTATTGCCTACTTTATTCCTGAGCTTTTATATTTTTGGTCTTGGCAGCTTGCTGAGAAAAAATAATTTCCAACTTAATTGTGACATTATAAAATTTTTCTTCCTTTAAGAATGAGAAGGAATTTGAGACATTTTTAAACAGTAAAACTATCTGGGAATGGGATGCACAAGCTCTTCCAGTTGCAACAAAACTAGGTCCGGCAAAGTCAGTCAAATGCACTGAAGGCAAGCTGGGAACCGGGACACTTTTGCTTTCCTGTTCTTTATGTTATTTCTTTATCCATTTATTTGCCATAAACACAGATGAGATAGTTGACTAACTGAGTCTTTGATCTCATCCATGACTACCTTTAGGCACTGAGCTGTAGTCCCTAACTCAGACTAACTTTCCATTAAAATCTAGTTTACCGCTCAGGCTGAAAGCAAACTTGTTTATTTTCTCTGACACCTCTCTCCTCCAAAACAAGGAGCCTGATGCTCTGCTGTCCTGCAGTTGCAGAGACTATGGTGGAATTCTAGTCTGAGCACAAAATTGAAGCATGTGATGCATGAATGCAGCTCTTCATCCCCCTTTATGGACATAACCCTAGACTACTGCAATCCAAAAATATCTCTAGCTTTCTCATGGGCCTTCAAGAATCTTTACTGTTATGCTGTTGCTATCACATTTGTGATGTCCTAGAACCCCTTATCAGTTAGAACAGGAAAAAGTATCATGCCTATGTTTACACGATGAGTTATCAGTCAATATATCTCTCAGGACTGCTTTACCTCTGCTTTCAGGATATATCTTTCAGGACCCCATTACCTCTGCTTTCTTCTGAAACTTTTTAGACTCTACACTCTTAAAAGGATTAATGTACTTAGATACTGTTTAGTGTGACAAGGGAGATAAGAGTATGAAAAAAACATGGTAGTAATCGAGCAATTCAGCATAATTATGAGGAAAATAGCTCAGCCTGCTTTAAGATGATCACTGATAAACAAATGATGCTCATGTTGATAGTGATATGACTTTGGTATTTTCCAAAATCTAAACAGAACTAAAATGATCTTTTTTTTCCTGCAAGCTGACCAGTTTCCAGTCAATGGAGATAAAGACTACAGTACATCTGCCCAAGGAGATTATCGTTCACCTGCTTGCTTACCAATACACAGCCTTCTGTTACTCATGGGGCTGCCTTAGGCTTCTATCATGGGGAGTCATAAGGAGCTGAAACACATTTCTTCCTAGGCTTGGCACGTTGCTTTTCTCTTGATGCTGGGAAAGGATTTTTCTAGATTTAGCTGATGGAGTAACTGGTAGATTTACTGGTCACAAATCTGTCCTCAGCAGGGTAGCAAATTAAGTTGAACATTGTAGTCATCAGCTTTTAAAAAATGAAGCTATCCAAGATATCTCTACGTGAAGAAAGCCTGTGGAGATGAGGTCTTTTGCCTTATATTTTCTCTAAACAGAAGAAGAAAGCTGGTAGCTCAATTTCTTTTAGTGGTAATAGGAGATGTTTAACAGTGAAAGAGAAGGCAAGGAGGGAAATGTCTAAAGTACCACATGTGCTTGTATCTTTATGCTAGCTTAGTTTTTCCCTCTTCGAGTGTAAGATAATAGTCCTTGCTTAGCCAAGCAGCGTTCACTTTTTTCTTTCACAGTTTGTAGCTATCGCTTGTCATCCACAGTATCTGCATTTGTTCATCAGGGTTTTACTTTCTACATTTACCATGTGAGAATGAAATGTGAAATGACTGTATTTCCTGTGCACAAGACTGATCTAGTAGGCAGGAGTTTCTGGAAAGGTCCTGCAAAAAAACCCTAATGTGTGCTCCAGGGCTCTGTGCCACTCAGCCTGTGGTTAGATGGAGAGATATTAAAAACCTACCCAGAGAGATAAAAGTTTATGCAAATGTATGGAATTTTATCTTTATTGTGGAAACAGTAAAAATTTTTTACTTAAGAGTTTCTTACTCTTCTTTTTCAGGAAGGGATGGGTATTGTTTTCTGAAAGGGACAGGTGACAGTCATCAGGACCCCTAAGGATGTGACCTGAAACTTCCTGATCTATATCTGTTGACTGTGATAAACAAGGTAGCTGTCATAATTCATAGTCCAGCAGAAGTAAATATAAAAATTTAATTCCAATATTTTTTAACAAAATATAGGCAAGTAGGAAATAGTGTGGAGATTGTCTTTAATTAGACCTGGCAAGGCTTGGGAATTTTTAAAAAAATTAAACACTACTATTATGTATATTGTTGTAATTTTTGCTTCAGTTGCTTTTAGTAATCTACTGTGTTTGAGCTCAGAGAAATGCTGTGAAAAACCTCCTCTGACAGAGTTGCTTTGGGAAGCAGGTTGTCTGTCAACTGTACAAGTACTGACCCCTCGTCTGACAAGATTGTTTCATGCTTTTGATGGAATCCTATCTCTAGGGTCTGACAGTATCATGCTATCATTGTGTACATAATGAATCCTGTGTATGTGCAGAAGCTGGTTTTCCCAGTACTGCTGATTCCCTCCATGGAATCTCACAAAATTAATTCTGATGTTGTTCTTAACACCAATAAACTCCCTTATGGTTTACCTATTATAAGATTATAATATTATAACAGTGTGACACTGCCATTACT